TAATCTGGGGTATGATTTTGTGTGAGGCTCACATTTTACATTTATGTAGTTTAACTGTATAAAAATAACCTAGTGGAAGCCTAGAAGTCCATAGATGAGGAGGATTCAGAAATACGATTTTTCCTTTGTTGCCTCATATGATTTGAAGTTCGATGGAAAGATCAAATGGGATTTTGGACAGGAAGCCTGTGCAGAGAGATAAAACCGGAGTGTCCTGAGGTTGATTCTGCTTGTTTATTAATTGTCTAAGGCCTCATTGGTCCCAAGGGGAGTCAGGATAGGAGGGAGAAGGAAAGGAAACTTTGTCACGAGATGGAGTAGGGCCAGAGGTCCCAGAATGGTGGCAGGACTCACACCCATATGATTTGGTCAGAGGGACTCTGACTCGGAGATTGGAGTCTAGAGTTCACCCTAATCACTATGGCTCTGAGGTCACCAGGGAGTAGGAGAGGCAGATTATCCTAAAATCATAGGACTTGGGATGGGAAAGAATTTAGGTGTCATCCAGTTTATCCTCTCCCAACGTGCAGCTATCTTCTCTGCAGGATTGGCGATCATATTTAGCGGGTTGTAGAGAAAGGGGTCAGTCTTATTGAAGTATAATTTAGACACAGTAAAATTCACCCTTTTAGTGTACAATTCTATGAGTTTTGACAAACACAGTTGTGTAGTTTACCATCATATATAAAACAGGGCATTACCCCCAAATTCCTTCATGTTGCTTTGTAGTCAAGCTGCTTCTTACCCCCACCCACTGGTAACCACTGATTTGTTTTTTGTCCCTATAGTTTTATCTATAGGATATCTATAAATCTAATAAAACAAAGTGTAGCCTTTTGTTCCAGGATGTCTACAAATGTAATAAAACTGTATGTGCCCTAGCCGGCTTGGCTCAGTGGATAGAGCATCGGCCTGCGGACTGAAGGGTCCCAGGTTCGATTCCGGCCAAGGGCACATGCCTGGTTTGCAGGCTCCATCCCCAGTGTGGGGTGTGCAGGAGGCAGCCAATCAATGATACTCTCTCATCATTGATGTTTCTATCTCTCTCCTCCCTTCCTCTCTGAAATCAATAAAGAAATATATTTTTTTAAAAAACTGTATGTAATCTTTTGAGTCTGGCTGCTTCTTCTTTTTATTTTTATTTTAGTTTGGCTTCTTTCATGTAGTCGAGATTCATCTCTGCTGTTGTGTGTATCATATCTTATTCTGACCTTGATTCAGAATTATTTAAATAATCTTCTTGCCCAGAAAGAAACTCATGGCTTTGGAAGCACTGATTTTAACAGCAAAGAGGGACCAAGTCCCTGGAGGACTGTGCCTCCTCCATCTCTGGGTCTCTTCTTGTTGTGAAGGAAGGACTGTCATCACCCTCAGAAGTACAGCCCTGATCTCAGAATATCCAAATATCTGAGGGAAAAATTTCCCCCACTGGCCTTAGAGGAATTTTGAGCAACATTATAAGCTATTGCTTGGTAGATGTTCAAACTTCCCCTGTTTGAAGTTGGTGCTGCCGCATCGTGGTCTCTTAGAATGTGAGAGTTCGAAGGGAACTTAGCAGTCATGCAGGCCAAGGTTGATATTTTGGCCAGATAGTTCTTCGTTGTTGGGGGTCTGTCCTGTGTACTGTAGGGTGTTTAGCAGCATCGCTGGCCTCTACCCACTAGATGCCAGTAGTAATCCCAACTATGATAATAAAAAATGTTTCTAGACACTGCCCACTAATTTATGGCAACCCCTCATGTTTCAGATATAGCCGTGTGACTCACATGGGGTTATACAGGCAGTTAATGCGCAAGTGGTATTAGACACATGCTTCTTATGTTGGTCTTTTCATTGCATTGTATCATTCTACCTCCCTCTTTTCATATTACAGTCTCAAAAGATAAGTTCAAGATTCCTTAGTGCTTTAGCCATTCTCAGTTCTTAATAAATAAATAGATCAGGTGTTAACAAACATGGGCATCTAGAGAACAAATCAGCTACTGCAAGTTCTGCTGAGAGGCATCTTTATTTGTTAAATATCCATATATTCTTTTAAAAAAATACATGTTTTTATTGATTTTAGAGAGAGGATGGGAGAGGGAGAAACAGAAACATCAATGATGAAAATCATCAATGGGCTGCTTCCTGCATGTCCCTTACTGGGGACTGAGCCCACAACCTGAGCATGTGCCCTGACTGGGAATCAAATCGTGACCTCCATGGGTCAACCACTGAGTCACACCAGCCAGGCAAATATCCATATAGTCTAAAAAATATTTTTTATTGATTTCAGAGAGGAAGGGAGAGGGAGAGAGAGATAGAAACATCAATGATGAGAGGGGATCATCAATTGGCTGCCTCCTGCACGCCCCCCACTGGGGATCAAGCCCACAACCAGGGCATATGCCCTTGACCAGAATTGAACCCGCGACCCTTCAGTCTGCAGGCCGATGCTCTATCTGCGGAGCCAAACCAGCTAGAGCTGATTTTTTTTTTTTTAAAGAGAGAGAAAGAGAGAGAGAGGGGGGTGTGGGGGGAAAGAGACACCAATGTGACATCAATTGGTTGCCTCCTGTATGCACTCCTATGGAGATTGAACCTGCAACCTGGGTATAAGCCCTGACTGGGGATTGAACTAGTGACCTTTCAGTGCATGGGACAACACTCAACCAACTGACCCACATCAACCTGGGCTATCCTTTCTTTTGATTATCTCTCCAAATATATTAAATCTATATTATTTACTCCATTTTATAGGTAAGGAACTGAGGCATAGAAAGCTTACAAGACTTGGCCAGTAAAGGTAGAGCAGGGATTCAGATCCAAGACTGTCCAAATCTAAATTGCATGCTATTTCCACCAAGCCTCACAAACTCCCAAAGTTAAAAAAGTCCCATTTAGTCTACTAGTGACCTGGTCATTTCTTTGTAAATATTATCTGGTTTGATACCTTCAATAGCCTAAAAGGTAGACCTTCTTTTATAGGTAGTTGAGGAAATTTAGGTTAAGAGATGTTATTAGTACATGATCTGCCCAAAGTCAGAAATGA